GCGTTGGGCCTGGCGGGCCCGCAGCTTTGCCTCGCAAACGCGCCCGCGCCGGAAGCTCAGTTGTGGGAGTTTCGTCAGCTGTGCTTTGTTGGTATCTGTTTCAGCGGAAATGGAAAAAACCGGCTCGGGGAAGCCTGAGGGAGGAAAAGGTGCGCACGGGGCACAAATGAAATACAAAGGGAAGAGCAAGCGAGCGGCCTGTCAGCAAAGCGAATTCACAGCTGTTGTCACAGCAGGTTTCTGATGTCCCTGTGCTGCTGGAGCTGCGCCCTTCCTTGGTGCGCGGGGGCTTCACGTGCTAAACCGCAGCTCAAATCCCTTACGGATGCTGACGACACAACCCCAGTGATTGTAACTGGGGATCAGCAAATTCCTCTCCCATCAAACTTTGATGGTAGCGGTATCGTAGTTGCTTCATCGTTAATGATACCAAGTAATTCAGCTGTAGATTTAAGGATGGAACTCCTCTCCTTTTTCTAATCCGATATCATCAAAAGAGCAGAATGCAAGCAAAAGCACGCTTTGAGGAAAGTTTCTTTTGGGATGAAAAACTAACGATGCCACCAGGTATTTTTAGTGCAGTCCCATTTATTCATAAACAACATAAGAATTCTTGGGTTTTTTTAATTATAAAGAATCAAACAATAAGAAATAATTTATTTGCTTCTAGCCCGTGGTTTGCTGTCTCCTCATGAACAAAAGAGGATGCTGTTGTACTAGACAAGGCTGTGATGACTGATGCTGTCCTTTGTAGGAGATTTGGACCACTGTATTAGTTTTTAAATTATTTGGACATTCACCAGACATTATCTTTTGGCTTACTGCAGACTAATTCTGCAGAGCCCATCGGTTTAACTCGCCCATCAGTTGAACTCACCCATTTTAAAAGACTCATCAGTGAAAGCTAGAACCTGGCTCCTTCCTTGATGAAGACCGCATGTCCCTTGGGTCTGCTATTTTCAGGTGCTCTCCACTGTAGCCATGACCTCGGCAGGCAGGCTGGCCCGTTCCAGAGGCCAGATAGAAGCCTCTGTGCACAGCATTGTTACGAGGAAATGAATGAGCAATGACCTTTCTGTGCAAATGCTTTCCATGATGACAATAAATGTCGCGTCTCAAGTGGTCTGTTCGAGGCTGTAGTACGGCAGAGAGATAAACCCTCTTGTAGAGCAGTGGAGATGGGTGGTCCAGGCAGAGGATATGTCTGTATCCCCCTGCTAGCCTCTCTCACAGGATAAAAACTGCTATTATCTCCCTCTGGTTGACCACCTGGAAGCTGTGTGGGATGAGAACCTTGTGAACAACAAAAGTAATTTCATGGTGCTGTGCTTATCATCAGCTTTTCTACCCCAAGTGACAGCTCTCAGGTGGTGCTGGCTTCCAGATGAAGGGAGGCACCCTCCCCTCAGTCACACTCCATGCAGCACAGCTGAGGATGTGGAGCAGAGGTGTTGCAACAAACAGTGCAGACCATAAATTTGTGTTGCTGCAAAACAGCACGTCAGGGTACTGCAGCCTCAGTCTCTCAGTAGGGATTTTAGGACAGCTGATGATCACACAGCTCTCAGCAATACTGTTTTTTGTAATGCACAGGCAAATCCCCCTTCGTGCTGTTTCTATTCTCCCCTTTCTGAAACAGCCCCTCCTGGCTGCATCCTGCAGTACCTCAGAGGTCCTTTGACAGTCTTGTCTCTTCTCACAATTCACTCCTCCCCCATGAAGATGTATCTCCACTTTGAGAATTGTTGCGGTATATAACACGGTTTTCCTCACAAACCATTATGGCATTGCACTGATTTGTATTTTGTGCAAAAAAGAGAGATCAAAAGCTTTGTCTGTAGTTCAGCTCTGGTTCGAGGAATGGTGAGACAAACTTTAGAGGTTTGGGTGTGAAAAGTCTCAGTTCTTTCACATTCCCCCTAGTAGCAGCCTGTACTGGGGTGAGGGTTTGGCTTTGCATTCATAGAAAGTGAAATTAATCATAATATGGAGGGCTGGAAAGCATCTTCAAAGACCTCATCGCTGACGGCGCTCTCATAAGCAGGTGGTGGAGTGAGTGGCTCCAATGGCTCAGGCCTGTCTTCAATACCTTTGACTTCATGGATGTCTGAAACAAACCGCTGCAGCCTTGGGGGCAGCACCAGCTGCAGCTGCATCCTAGAGCCTGCGTCTGTCTCCGAGACGCGCCTCGTGTCTGATGGCACGGACACCCTGAGAGCCTCCACCACAATCTCCTCTTGGGCAGAGGATTCAATAACTACGTTGTAAGGGGGAGGCTCAGTCAGGGGGGAGGGAACTAAGCCTGGATTGGATGCAATTGTCCATATTGCCGGAACTGACATGGTCATCACCTCCTCATAGGTGGGCGCTTCATAGGCAGCATTCACCCTACGCACGAAGAGAGGAATGGCAGTTACACTCATTATTTTACTCCTTGGTGTACGCAGAGGCAGGTAGGCTGGATAACGTAGTATAGGGACCATGCTAGAATCAACAGGTGGCACTGAGACCGGATATCGTGTGGTATTATTGTATGGGATATTCTGTCACTGGATCAGCTCACTTGTTCAGCCAACTTAATGTCTTGCTTTCTGGTCTAGAGAATTACTCACGTGACCATTTTCCCACACTCCCTGGAACAAGTAAACCCCACCCCCCCACGGGTTTCAGTGTCCTAGGCTTAGCCTGATCATAGAATTATAGAGTATCTCAAGTTGCAAGGGACCTGTAAGGATAACATCCCGCATTTAAAATCTCCGACCAGTTCAAATGTATTGCTAAGACCTACTAACTCCTCATTATTTCTCAGAATAAAACAGGACCTTGCTTTTTACATTAGCTCAATGCTCATCCTTTTTTAAGAAGCAGATAAAATTAAGTAATTTCATGTAGTTTAAACAAGGACTAATGATTCTGTGTTAAAAACACATGTCTGCAGAGAAAAACGTTACCTTACAAACATTTTCCTTTTTAGGTCATGTTTTTAAATAAATAGATGCTATTTTTTTCCTAGTATGCCCCCAAGCTAGCAAGGCCAAATATAGGCTTCTTTTTATGTACACATTCTAAAAGCAAACATTTTTTTACCGTCCTACAACACCCTGTATTTGAGCATGTCAAGTCATTTCTGGATGTGGATTATGCCGACAAGGAAGCAAAGATACAAATAAAGTTAAACTCTCCAACTACAGCAGGCAAATCGGGGTTAGATTAGGTGATGCTGAGAGCCTGCAAATATACATGAAGCCAAAAAGATGTAGGAGTGTTCAGAGTCTCTCAGAATCAGGGTTTATTGGTGTCAAGTTGCATTTTTAAGGCTGGAAACACACCCTGTTAGAGGTTCCTTTTTAAAAGTTTGCTGAGGAACAGTTGCTCTGGTTTATAGAGTTAAACCCAGCTAAGATTCACTGTTGCTTCAGCATTTTTTTCTTTTTCCTTGTCTGACTCATTGTTTGGCAAGACTTGATTACTCAAAGAAAAATAAAACTGGGCTTGGATCTGTTTAACCTTGGAAATTGTTAGTGGATCAGTTCCTGGAGGGAAGAAAATAAATAATGGACAAGATACAGGACACAGGTGGCCTAGACATTTGCAGCCTTCACCTGAAGAATGAAGGAAAACAACCTAAAAAGAACTTCTTTCTTCTGGAATGGAGCCTGTGTTTGGTACCCTAGGGGAAGGGCAGCGAAACAGTATGTAAAATGGCCATGTATGAGGAGAGACAGTTGAAGAGGTATAACCAGGTTGCTGCTTACCCTGCTTGGCTTTGTCTGCTTGGAGAAATCTCGTTCGTGTCCTGTGGGTGCTGATTCCTCAAGTAACACTCGACAAACATGCTCAGCAAATAGCCGACCAGGCACACTCCCCCTACCCCTAGGAAGAAATAGCCTATTGGATTGATGTTAGATGAAATGGCCAGCATGGTGACCCCAATGAGAAGCGCAGCAGTGAAAAGCAGCAACAAGACTTGGCGGATGTTCTTCCAGTGTGTCTCTAACCACATGGTAGTAGAGGTGGTGGTAGCAGACAGTTGAGGACAGATGGGCGGTTAAGGGGACAGGCATCTGTGAAAAGACAGAATAGTTTTTTCAACATGAAACATGAGCACACAAATACGTTACCAGTATCATGACCAAAATACATACAAAATAAGAACATACATGCCGTCATGAGAACATGCAGCTATGCAGATACATGCCGGGGGAACATAAATGCATGCCAATGTAAATGTACTAGAATTTCCTATGTTAATGCTTATTGAATAATGGGCGTGCTTGAACACGCAGTTACAAGACAAAATGCATAAATGGACCATCAGCACTTACTGCCAGGCGTATCTAAAACGGTCTAGGTCCTTAAGAGAACTTAGAGCAGTCTAGGATGCAGATCTGAGGTTACAGCAAAAATGAAATGAAAAAGGGTAACTTTAAAGGTTAATTCTAGGACATTTGTACATTGCATAACAAAGGTTCAGGTACGAGTTCAGACCCCAGAAGAAAAGTAGCCGTATTAACGGGGCTGTCTGCCCCAGTAAATTGAGCGTCTAACTTGAGCGTAGCATTATAGAAATAACATTACTTTAGGTTCTAGATGCAGCTGGGGAACGTCTGCTTTTGCAAAATGTAGGCATGCATTTGAATATTTGCCTATATCCCAAGTTCTTTGTCTATAGATGTGCTTTCTGCACCCTTCTCAGGCATGAGAGCCCCTCCTGTCCCCCGTTCCAAACCCCATCTCTGTGAAGCGCCAGCAGTTGGCACGGTGTGCAGTGTATGTGGAATGAATACCAGGGATCTGTGGGATTCAAGAACATTGTAACTAAGGGGTTGTCTTGCACATGTTGTATTAACCCACATACATCCCACCGTATTGAGGAAGACCCCTTTGAAAGAAAAGAGCTTACACGATGCACATATTGCTTATGAGTATCCATCTCCAAACAAATACACAGTTTTAAACAGTTCCATGTTAGATTGTGTGCTTTTGCACACTAAATACGCTCCCTTGTTACAGCAAAAATAGATGAATGTATATATTCAAATGCAAGAAAAAGAAACACATTCTTTTCAAACAGATTACCTTCTTGTTACCGTTTTTACTGCCAGCTTTCAGCGTCTACTTACCCGAGAGAGGTTTCCGTAGGTAGGAACAGTCATGTTTTAACTTCTGTCTTCATCACAAGGAAAAATGTGCAAGTTCTTTTGCCCCTACTCCTTCCCCTTCTGACCTGAAGATGCAACACCAGTAAAAACTCTCCCTTCCTCCTTTTGAGTTTTCATGTAGGGAGACAATGAAGATTTCTTTTCAAACGAAAAGCCAGTAACTAGCGAATATGGGAAGGGACCAAACGATGGGAAGATCTTGTAAGAGTTCTGCCTGGGAAACTAGAACCTTATTTTTCCAGGTTCTGAATCCAAAGCAACTTCTAGACGATCACGTAGCCTCTACTCTGTTGCAGCTCTTCTAGGTCTGTCCCGCAAAAGCAGGAAACTCATTAGGAAAGAGGGCGGAGTGAAGAGGGGGGGAGTGCTTACCTGTGTCAGAGCTGTTTGATCTGCTTTACTTCAATGAGAGAAACTCTGCCCTGAAAATTATGTTCTTGCTGCTTAGCAAAGGAATCTTGATCTCTGCCTCACAAGGCAGGAAGGACTGCCAGCCCAGCCCACATCACATGGCCCACGCATAGATCTGTTTATGACTTCTGAAAAATGTAAATACATACATTTTCCCATCCTGATTGCGTGCTGTTTGTCAGATGTTGTTTTATGCCTTCTTTGATTTTACAAACAGGGTGAGAAAAAGAGGCAGTGGATTATTATTTCACAGAGGGCTAGGTTAAAATCCTTCCTCCTCACTGATGTATTGGGGAGTACTGACAAGCAACAGAACAGGTACTGAATTACTTCCAGTCTGTTATCATCTGAAACATTAGCATGCATCTGCAGATCATTAGAAGTTCTCAAATGCTATAGCGCGAATGACCTCCAAGAGCTGGCTGCAGCTCTGTGTGTCTGTAATAGGAAGATGTCCTACTGCTAACTGTTTATTAGCAGTATTCAGATTGGAAGATTAGGCCAACAAGAATTGCATGAGGTGTAAAGTCATGCATGGCCAGAATAATCCCAAGCAGCAGCACAGGCTGAGGCCGACTGGCTGGGGGGCAGCTCTGCTGAAACAGGCCTGGTGGGCATGATGAACAGCAAGCTCAACAGGAGTCAGCAGCGTGCCCTCCAGCAGTGAAGGCAAACTGTGTCCTGGGCCCTATCAGTAAGAGTGTAGTCAACAGGTCAAGGGCTGTGATTATTCCATTCTACTCAGCACTTGTTAGGACACACCTGGAATACTGTGTAGACGCTTGGTCGCCCCAGTTCAAGAGAGAGATTGAAAACTTTGGTATGGTCTAGTGAATTGCTTCCAAGATGATTTGAGGGTTGGAGAGCTCTGACAATGTAGGGAGCTGGGTTTGTACAGCATAACGAAGGCTTGGGCAGGTGGTGAGTTTCTACTGAGTTTTCCAGTGTCTAGTAGGTAGTTGTAGAGAGGATGGAGGTACTTTTCATGAGGGTACACAGTGACAGGACAAGGTGCAATAGGAAAGAGAGTAAGTGCCTCTGAATATGAGAAAAGAATTCATCAATGTGAAAACAGTGAAACATTGTGATTACTTGCCCACTGAAGTTGAGGAATCATCTTGGCTGGAAATACTCAAGACTCATCTGAGTCTAAACCCCTGCTTTCAGTAGGAGGTTGGACTAGGGAGGCCCTTCCAGCCTAGACTTGTCAATGTGTCTATGTTTGTAATATTTGTCCTTTATACCTGCCTTTTTGGTTGATGACAAATAAAGGTCTTTCAGCTCTGACTGTTATCCATTCTTTGCTTTCAAGAGTAATAGCAGACTTAACATCCATGTGAAGAGAAGGAAGTCAGACTTCTGGCGTGTAGTGTGTCATTTTGCAAGACTATCACTCAAATGAGAAAACTGATTTGTTTCTGACAGCTCTTTCCATTTTGGGGTTGCCTAGTGTTGAGAACACTAAGTGCTAAGGAAGATTTGACAAAACTCTTTTCACAGCTTCTTTGCATGGAAAGCATGACTGACTCATAGTAGAATCTGGATGCCTTGGTACTTCCTTCTAATTGGGGTAGCTGGTAGTTGTTAGAACTGTTCCTTAAAGATAAAAGATTTATACCCTACTGTACTGTGGAGGGAATTAAAATATACTACAGACCCTGGCTAAGTGTTCTGTTTACTGAGCTATTGTAATAAAAGAGCACTGCTACTGTAAGAATTAGTTTCAAAGAAGGTGGTTCTACTTCTTAAAGTAGCGAGTGAAAGTGTGGTTTGACACGGCAGCTAAACAAACCTCACAGCTAATTGCTGTGGAATATGGTAGTCCTTCCTCCTTCCTGCCTCTTCTCCATCTGCCAGCTGTCAAAGCCTGTCCTCCTTGCAGTGATTCTAGTGCTCAGCTGATCTCTTTCTGAGCCACCTCAGCTGTCTTGACTAGTGGGAAAGTGTTTACATTTTTCCAGAATGAATTTAGTGGGATGAATCTAGTCACCAAAGTATAATCTAAGCACTAGATGCCCATTCAAGGGAAGCAATGGAAATTCATACCTAGAATGATGGAGGGGAAGGGAGAAGAGTGGGGATAACTTTCAGGGTTTCAGTGAGCACTGTCTGATTGGAGTAGAAGGAAGTTCTTCCTGTCGAACTAAGTAAGCCCTGCAGAAAGGTGTAGAACCTGAGACCCATCTTGTCCTCAGCAAATGCTATTCATTATGTCAGGAATTTTCAGCTCAGCCTGATGACTTCAGGCAACTCCCAGCTCTGGTAAGTACAGTGAATATTGTCAAATCCCCTCCAACAGTCTGTTGTTGAATCCCCCTTGTAAATACCTACCGAAGGTACTGATTCTTCTGCAGGCTATGTAGAGGGAGTCGAGGCTCTTCACGTATCTGCACATTCTGCTGCCGGGAGTAGGCACATAAAAACTGCTTTGGGGCTAGTCCTTTTTGCTGAATTAGGAGAAAGTCAGAAAGGTGAAAAAACATCATTATTTGGTGGAAAACTACCTCTGTGATTGGAAAGGCTGTATTTGAGTTGTGGCTAGATAGAAAGGTAGTGGTTTTGCTGAAAATTTTTTATAGGAATTTTGATTGGTGCACCGTTTTTAAAAAATGTTTATAGACATAGTTATGAAATATCATATGAAAAAGGCTAAAAGTGGTAGATATCTCTGCTGCCTTTGTTGTTGCCTGTATTGCTGCAGTTGGTTTCAGCTGAAGTTCAGAGTTCAGTAACTCCTGTATATTTTAACCATGGAGTTGCACGGATGACTGGGCCCATCTTTAGGGATGACTTTTACGTGTTTACAAGAATGGTACTTTGCCACGCACCTCTGAATGCATTAGTGGAACAGGTTTATGAATGTGATAATGTCCACTCTGCGAATCTGAGGATACAAAGCAGGAGGAACTAACCTTTGCAGTAGGATTTCTAGCAACACTGCTGCTACATGAGGCCTTTTGGTATTTCTGAAGGACTTCTGAAATTTTTATTGGTCTGCCATTTTGACTGGTTTTGTAGTCTGATTCTGACTGTCACTGGTTACAGTGTGTGTGGGTCCCTAACAAAAATTGATCACGTAGCTGCATGAAGAAGTTTTGGTAATGACAACATTCAGAAAACAGAAAGGCTTGGGAAAGGCCTGAGAGGTATCACTGCAGTGTTTGTGAAACAAGGGGTAGAAGTCAGGGAGAGTAAAGACATTCATTCTGCCATCCTAAACTGCCTTCCTTTCATGTGCCATAGGGAGATTTTTATAGAAAGATTTCTGTTGTCTGTTGTTGAATCATGCTGTGGGGACCAGACTTCATTTCTTTTTCCTTTTCCCTTCCCTTCCCTTCCCTTCCCTTCCCTTCCCTTCCCTTCCCTTCCCCTCCCTTCCCTTCCCTCCGTCTCCAGGAAGCATTTTACCTTTCCCCTGTTTCATCTCACT